TGTTGTCTAGTGTGTGTTCCTATTTCTACTTCAAGCCAAGGTGACAGGTATGAGTCCTCATATGGTAACTATAGTTTTTAATTTGTATGTTTTATGTTTCCTCATATGGTAACTATAGTTTTTAATTTGTATGTTTTCTAGTTTGAAGGCCCATCATTACTTCAAGCCTAGGTGACAGGTATGAGTTCTGGTATTGCAACTACAGCTTTAAATTTGTATGTTGTTAAGTGTATTCTATCCATACTTCTTACTGTGAGTGCCAATCAATAAGTTTTAATGTGCTTATCTTACCGATGACAACTAAAGTGTTGTGTCTTTGAATAAATTTTTTTTAAAGCAGTCCCTATGACTGACACTAACAGAAACTCTATGTCTCTGTTTAATACTCCCAAAAATGTTATTTTTTAATAATGTGTTTATGAAAAATGTCAATAAAAATGTTACTTCTCTTATTAATAATGTTTATATTTAATGCCATTTTTTAAAAGTTATTTTCAAATATTAATAATTTCTGTCTCATGCCAATAAAAAAAAAATGTTATTGGTCATATCAACAATGTGTCTATTTCTAATGAAAATATTGTTATTTGTCATATTAATAATATGTTTATGTCTAATGAGAATAAAATAGTTATTTCTTATATTATTAGTGTGTCTATGTCTACTAAAAATTTTTTTATTTCTCATATTAAAAATGTGTTTATGTCTAATGCCAATTAAAAATGTCATTTCTCATATTAATGAGTTTGTGTCTAATGCCAATAAAAATAGTATTTCTCATATTAATAATGAGTTTACTCATTATGCAAATAAAAATGTTCTTTCTCATATTAATAATGTGTTTATTTCTAATGAGAATAAAAAGGTTATTTTTCATATTAATAGTGTATCTGTGTCTAACAAAAAAACATATACTCATATTAATTATGAGTTTATGTCTAATGCCAATTAAATGTTATTTCCCATATTAATGTGTTTATGTCTCATGAGAAAAATTATACTTTTTATATCAATGTCATGAAAGTGTTATTTACCATTCATACTCATAATTTGGAAAGATGTGGTAGCCCAGTGGTTAGCATTCTTGCACTCTGACCCAGTATTCATGGGGTCAAGGATATATTCATCAGGGATTTGAAACACTAACCCGGGCTCCCGAGTCGACCTGGGTCTCATGATGACTAAACAACCAACAGGTTAGTTCCACAGCACAAAATGCGTTGAATATTTCTCAAGTTAACGTATTCATGACATTAATTTTGGTATCAATGAAACTGCAACAACTAAATAAAATAGTGAACAAAACTATGATAAAATATCTGGCATGCAATAGCTGATAGCAAACTTGCATAATGAAACAATGTGAGACGGGTTCGGAAGACCAACAAAAAGTAAAGCAAGCATGCATTAGGGCAATACGTATGACCACACAGTAGTGCTAGACCGAGGCTTCTCTCTCACCAAGCGACTAGGAAGCTCAATGAAGGCAAAAGAATGATGCATGCGGATATAAATAAACATTTCAACCAAAACCTTTATCAACAGGTAAGAACTAAAAATCTGACACCACATACACAGATGAAAACAATCACAAACAAATCAAGCAGTTCAGTCAGTAATCCTGTACGGTTTCCCTAGATATTTCTCTACCCTACAACATTATCAGACTCTGGACGTTCCCTGTTATATTAAGTGACATTTTCTAAAGTTGGACATTGTTAGCGATGTTTAGGTAAAGAAAGACATGAGAGCATTGACTAAGTACATGAAGAAATAAAGTTGCATGTTAACAGAAGTATTGAAATATAACAGGTCTTACATTAACAGCAATGTCTATGAGTAATACAAGGTTGGACACTGCCAGCAATGTTTAGTGAAGAAAGTTGGACATTACCAGCAATTTTTGAGTGAAGAGAGTTGCACATGACCAACAATGTTTGAGTGAAGAGAGTTGCACATTACCAGCAATGTTTGAGTGAAGAAAGTTGCACATTACCAGCAATGTTTGAGTGAAGAAAGTTGGACATGACCAGCAATGTTTGAGTTAAGAGAGATGGACATTACCAGCAATGTTTGAGTGAAGAAAGTTGCACATTACCAGCAATGTTTGAGTGAAGAAAGATGGACATGACCAGCAATGTTTGAGTGAAGAAAGATGGACATGACCAGCAACGTTTGAGTGAAGAGAGATGGACATGACCAGCAATGTTTGAGTGAAGAGAGATGGACATGACCAGTAATGTTTGAGTGAAGAGAGTTGCACATTATCAGCAATGTTTGAGTGAAGAAAGTTGCACATTACCAGCAATGTTTGAGTGAAGAAAGTTGCACATTACCAGCAATGTTTGAGTGAAGAAAGTTGGACATGACCAGCAATGTTTGAGTGAAGAAAGTTGCACATTACCAGCAATGTTTGAGTGAAGAAAGTTGCACATTACCAGCAATGTTTGAGTGAAGAAAGATGGACATGACCAGCAATGTTTGAGTGAAGAAAGTTGCACATTACCAGCAATGTTTGAGTTAAGAGAGATGGACATGACCAGCAATGTTTGAGTGAAGAGAGATGGACATTAGCAACAATATTTGCATGAAGAGAGTTGGACATTACCAGCAATATTTAATTAGAGAAAAGCAACCAGACACTAACAGTGTTGACTAATTAAGTGAAGAAATGAAAATCACACATTAAAAGAAATCTTGATGGTTTGCCATTAACAAAGAATGAGCACTGTCACAAAAATCAAGTGATAAAGCATGAGAACTCTCTCAAAACCAGAATGAATTATGGTGACACAGAGTAATAAGATACTGTCCATTGATAAGTTGAATTAAATGCATGCATGCAGGCAAAAAATAAAATGTTATTAATTACAATAAGAGTAAAGGCTTACGTTATCTGAGCATGTAATAAGACTAGAAAAACTGCAACCAACTGCAAAAATTGAGACCAAACCAAAAAAAAACAAAAAACAAAAAAATTACTTGAACAATAATACAGAGAAAAGAGGAGTGTCTGGCCAAATGGTTAAAGACATAGGGCTTTCATGCAAAAAAACCCGGGTCTGAATCCTTCGTAAGGTTGGGGATTTTGATTCTGTCAGGGCAAAAATAAAAATCCTAAACTGCACAGTCTGAAGCACAAGCCGTGTGGACCTAAATCATCAGGCCCAAAGACCCCCCCTCCCCTTCCCCCACCGCAAAAGTGGTGAATACAGGCAGTCAGGCAGGCTTTAACAGAGAGAACAAGATACTTCACAATGTTGTTATGAGAAATAGATACTAGCTTAAGAGGGAAGACAACATTCTATACAATGTATACATTTCTTACATTCTTCGGCTAGGTCAACCCAAGCTACCCCAATTGTTACTTGACCTTCTTTGTCCCATTATCATCAATCAGCAAGTCCTTTACAGAACGTCGCTCTCGCCACGGCACACCTGAAAGTTGATCCTTTTGTCGCCAATTCTCCAGCCCTATGTGCTTTCATAGCCAATGCATCTTTAATGTCTTGTATCCAACTTTGTGGAGGTCTGCCTCAGCCCCATTTTCTGGAAGCATTTTTATTTTTAAAAAAATGGTGCGCAATCAAAACAAAAGACGTGGGTGGCTGTCCTCTGCAATTGTGCTTTTGCAGGATAATGTTCAACCTCACGTTGCAGATGGAACTGCATAACTGTTGCAAAAATTTCACTGGGAAATATGTTGACCACCCACCCTACAGCCCTGATCTGGTGCCCAGTTATTAATAACTTTTCATGCACCTAAAGAAGTGGCTGGCATCCCAGAGGTTTGAAACTGCAGACAGGCGGTAATGAATGGTTCAAGACACTGGCGGAAGACTTCTAATGACATTGGAATTAAGAACCTGGTGCCATAATACCAAAAATGTGTTGAAACAATGGTGACTACGTTGAGAAATAATGTAAATGTGTGGTTCACTTTTGGCTGCAATAAATTATTGTTATATATGATGGCTTTTTTTTTTCATTATATATCAGAACTTACTTAAAAATGTGCCTCATATTTATACAAAAATTTTCTTCGTGAGTCAAGCCTGTTGCTTGAAATACAAAAAAATACCGGGAAGTTAACAATAGGTGATAAAGAATGGGAAATATAAAGCAGGACATTTAAAAACTGTCCACGCAGGCTGGAAGGACAATACACAACTGTACCAGGTCTACATCATTCAATGCCATGTGCTATAGCAACAATTCTGCCATTATATATTCTTCTTTTGTGTGCAACATCTTCATTAATTTTTTTTAAGTAAAATATATAGACAAAAATACAATGTAAGTTTGAAGGGACAAAGATTGGTACCCGAAGAAAGCCATGCATAAATGCATACAGACATACACACATCCTACCTTCTTCCCTCTCCATTTTTGCTTCTTTCTGTCTCCTCTTTCCTTTCTCTCTTCTCACTGTCTCCCTCCTCTTTCCTCCCTCACATCTGCCCATGTTGCAATACACAAATAATTTTTGTTTAAAGAAGCTATACAACTCAATACTTATGCAACAGGTAAAGACATGCTGCAAACAGTAAACATCAATATTACAAGGATAAAACATTCTATGGCTAGCCCAGGTGGCAGTTTGATCCCCAAATCTGAAAAGGAATCCTTTCTTCAGTTACTATCACTATTACCCTGCCAACCATCCACATTTGCCCAAACCAACTTCATTATTTCTTTAAAAAGTCTTCAGAAGAAATTAAAATGCTGCATTCTGGTCAGACGTATATAAATAAATCTAAACACAAATATATTTATTTCAGAGTACATACAAGCAGGCAACACCACAAACCAATAACATCTGAGATAAATGTCTAAACGTTGATGTCTAATAGCTAAGTGACAAAACGGTGGGCTGGTAAGGGGAAACAATTGCGTGCTGGATGTGACAAGAGCATTCTTTGACGCTTGTACTTTTCTGCAAGGGAGGAAAGGTCCAGAATAATGATGATAAGCAATACAGATTAAAGCTTCAATCCACATCATGGCTTGTGAAACCTGCATGAGACAGAAACAAAAACAATGTCAATCAAAGGTTAAGGAATATTTGAAAATATGAAAAACTATACCAGAGGGTTTCTCAACCTTCTTAATGCCGCGGCCCTTTAATTTAGTTCCTCATGTTGTGGTGATCCCCAACCATATAATTATTTTCGGCGCTACTGCATAAGTTCAGTGATTATATGTTTTCCAATGGTCTTAAGTGACCCCCTTATGGAAGGGTCATTCGACCCCCAAAGGGGTTCCAACCCACTGTCTGAGAACCGCTGAGCTATACTGACATGAAAGCATATCTGAAAGATTATTATGGTGAAAAAAGCAAGCAGGAGCATAACGACTAGATGCTAAGCGGCAGGATAGAAGTGTGTGGGTTAAAAACAATGACTTTGCTCCGAGGTCAACCCAGTCTAAATCTAGTGTGTGGATGTGCTGGGTATAAGATTTAGCTTTTTTTTTTTTTGTCACTGTGACATCATCGTGACTCATTTTGTTCCACACAGCTGTGTCAACCTAATTATTTTTCAAAGTCAAAGCAGTTAAAGCTGTGCTCTGTTTGTATTTAACATTTACATCTGTTGTGTGCAATCCGAAGATCCACACTAAGGGCAACCGATAATGAACATGAGGTATGACGAGGATACAACGTCACTTGCCGACAGAAATTTTTAGACAGATGACAGTTGCAAAAAATGTGTTAATGGCAGAGGTTGGAAACTAGGCTTAGCTGTATTCTACTTGATGCCGCAGTTGGCGGGGAGCTTAGGCTCTGTACTCTGGCTTAGAGGTGAAGGGAGTTCTCCTACTTGATGCCGCAGTTTGCGGGAAGCTTAGGCTCATTGCTCCGGATTGGAGGAAAGTAATTAATTATTTAACCGTGGTTGAATACAGTGACTGTAATGTATGCATTTTATTGACACCATTTATATCTGTGAGGAATTGTTCAATAAACTTCTTGGATTTGCCTGTCAACGACGTGTTTGTAGCAGTTTCAACGGTTGACTTTGTTACGGCATTTTTCTGAAAATTCTGCCCGCCGTTGGTCTTTGTCATTGGTTACCCCTAGAAAATAGTTTACTTGGAATTTGTACGGCATGGATCCGGGACTACACCTCACGGCCGAATTTATGAACAGAATATCATCGTACAGTAATGGAGACAAAAAAGAGCCGTACTACATCCCTGAATATGAATCTGGTGTATTCTTCTTCTTTTTCAGCATTCGGAGCCCTTGAGGTTCATTGCTGCAGATATCATCCGCCTCCATTCATCTCTCTGGTTGCCCTTCTCTTTCCAGTTGGTGACACCAAGTTTTTGCAGGTCTGTGGATATTATCTCTCCATTTTATCTGATTTATTGGGTTGGAAAAATACCTTGGTGACCTTTCATTCTAGAATGTTTTCATACATTCCTTGTATTTCATGACTTTTAGCAGCCTACGCAAAGTCCACATTTACCCTGTGAAGTCCATGTTCATCTCGACTTGACATTCAGTCTGTTTCCTCATACATTATTCTTAAGACCATATATTCAGCATAGTTTATGAAAATGAAACAGGAAGGAGAAAATGGCTCATTACTCTTTAACTACTGACCTTGTTAAATGGCGGCTTTCTTCATGTACATCCATCTCTTTGCTCTTGAACTCATTCAGTTCTTTACGAATCGCAGCCTGGACAGAGAAAAAAAAATGTCCTCATACATACATTTTTTATAAATACAGCTTCTATAAATGTTGTGAGTTTGTAACAAAAGTAATTAATCACAGCAACACAGCAGAGAATCACAACGGTAACACAGTAAGACTCCAACAGTGGTAGCAGAGAATCCCAGTATTTAGCACAGAATCATAGCAGTAATACAACACAATAACATAGTAAAGAATCCCAGTAACATGGAAAAGAATCACACTAACACATCAGAGAATCACAAAAGTAACACAGTAAGACTCCAAGACAGTGGTAGAATAAAATTCCAGTAACACAGCACAAAATCACAATAGTAACATGGCACACAGAAACAAAATAACATGGTAAAGAATCACAATAACATGGAAAAGAATCACAGTAACATGGAAAAAAATCCCACTAATATAGCACAGAAACAGAATGCTAACACAGACATAAATATAGCACAGAAACAGAATACTAACACAGACATAAATATAGCACAGAAACAGAATGCTAACACAGACATAAATATAGCACAGAAACAGAATGCTAACACAGACATAAATATAGCACAGAAACAGAATGCTAACACGGACATAAATATAGCACAGAAACAGAATGCTAACACAGACATAAATATAGTACAGAAACAGAATGCTAACACAGACATAAATATAGCACAGAAACAGAATGCTAACACAGGCATAAATATAGCACAGAAACAGAATGCTAACACAGACATAAATATAGCACAGAAACAGAATGCTAACACAGACATAAATATAGCACAGAAACAGAATGCTAACACAGACATAAATATAGCACAGAAACAGAATGCTAACACAGACATAAATATAGCACAGAAACAGAATGCTAACACAGACATAAATATAGCACAGAAACAGAATGCTAACACAGACATAAATATAGCACAGAAACAGAATGCTAACACAGACATAAATATAGCACAGAAACAGAATGCTAACACAGACATAAATATAGCACAGAAACAGAATGCTAACACAGACATAAATATAGCACAGAAACAGAATGCTAACACAGACATAAATATAGCACAGAAACAGAATGCTAACACAGACATAAATATAGCACAGAAACAGAATGCTAACACAGACATAAATATAGCACAGAAACAGAATGCTAACAAAGACATAAATATAGCACAGAAACAGAATGCTAACACAGACATAAATATAGCACAGAAACATAATGCTAACACAGACATAAATATAGCACAGAAACAGAATGCTAACACAGACATAAATATAGCACAGAAACAGAATGCTAACACAGACATAAATATAGCAGCAATGTGGTAGAGAAACAAAGCAGTAACACTGTACCTAAATCACAGCAGTAACACAATACAGAATCATGACAGTAAATTAGTATCCAACCACAGCAGTACCATACTACTACCTAACCAATGAGGTAACACTGACCCAATCACAGCAGTAAAACAATACTCAACCACGTGGTAACACAATACAGCACCGAGCAGAATCACAGCAGTAACACAATACAATCTAACAGTAGTATCAGAAAACAGAATCACAGCAGTTAACAGTTCTGAAACATATTAGTAACACAGCGCAGATCACCAGCAGAAAACAGTGCACAAATACAGTGGTAACAGCACAGAACCACAATAGTAACACATTATATGATGAATACAGTAGTCAGATCCAGAGAAATAACAAAGCACTGAACAAGAGTAGCAGCACAATGCAGAATCACAGCAATACTTCAGTAGAGAACCATAGTGGTATCACAGTACAGTCGCCCCAGTAACACAGTACAGAAACACAGTGGTATAACCAGAGCTTTTTCTCTCGCTGCATGCATCTTTTTTTTTTTAAGTGCTGTTGTAATACATGGCTATTGTAATACACACTTCCCGTGTGGGGAAAACAAGAACAGACCCACTGCCTCCCCCCTCCCCCAAAAAGGTCGTAAGAGCGGACTAACTGGGGGTTTCTTTCAAAGTCGGAGTGCATCTGCTTGAGAGGCAATGAACCAACAGTCTGCATACATATAAGCCAGATCTGTAAAACAGAAGTGCAAGCGGCACTCAGATTCTGGAACAAGACTAAAGTCTAAAGGCGGACAAAGAACCAGAACTTTCTGCCGCAGTTTACAGCTGGTGACTGCGAAGAAGATGTAATACATACTATGTGGTGAGTCTTCTTCTTCTTCTTCTCCACTTTATACCTCAATGAAGCACTACACTCAACCAACACACACCAAGTTGTTCTATTCTTTGCTATCACAAGCAGCTCTCCCCATGTCCTCCCCATCTTTTTAAGTACACTTTATAGTTCCCCTCTCCACGTGTTCTTCTATCATGCCTTTATATATATCTTGGTAATCTTAGTTTCAGCTTCATAGCAAATGGGTCACCCCATAGTTGCTCCGCTTCTGTGCCAATGAAAAATACACAGAATGTTTATCAGTCTCTTGTGGAAAGATTGACAGACTGCTGTCTCAGCATATGCACTAGCATACACATGCATTAAAAGCATACGGTAGCCATCCGAAGTGCTAACACAAACAGTCCGACATTAGAAATGCAGTTCATCACGGATGGTAGCAGAAGTCACCAAGAGATCAACAGTTGCACACGGGATCAATTTTCATCACATAATGGCACCACCAATATTGCGACAACAGGCATCGCACCATTTTCTGAATCTACAATTAACATCACACTGGTCACAGTCGAAAAACATTCCAAATGAAGTCCGCAGCTCACAGTGTCACGCCATGCACTCAACTCAGAAGCTGGAGGATGAAACTGTATCCTTTCAGTCTACAAACAGAGTAAAAATGCAACGGCCACCGACTGGCAGAAGCAAAAAATTTGCCACAGCTCAAAACAGTGCTAATGCCTAGCGTCCATTTTGACCAGAACTCCTTTATTTATATGCCCCTGTAGGTCACAGTGTAAAGTCCTTGTGGTGTTTTCAGGTTTTCTCAACGTGTGTCCTATCCAACAGCAGCGTCTTTTCTCAATCTCTTGATTCACTGGAGTTTGTTTAATCCCTTCCAAAGCTCAACATTAATGATTGTGCCATATCAATCAATTTCCCTGTTATACAGAAGAGTCCTAAAAACAAAACACTTGATTTAGATGAAATAACTAAAGAAGCTATTCAAACATGTGGCGAAACTGGCATCAAATGACTAACAAGAATTTTCAATATAGCATGGGAAGAATTTATGAGTGTTTAGACACAACTGTTGTGATCTTGCATCAAATATGTTTAATTTATCCTGCATCTGATTCCGTAAGTGGGATAAAAGAGAAATGTAATACGCAAAGTTCGGTCATCAAGCTGTTTTGTAGGGTTCAACTAAATTCCAATCCTGGTGGTAGCTGTTGCTGTATTCATAATCCAGTTTACTGCCAGTAAAAAAAAAAGGTGACAAAAAGCATCCCTGCTGCACACCTGTTCTTATCTCAAAGGTATTTGTTAGCTTTCCCTCATGAAGAATTCAACATTTCAAGTCTTTATATGTTGCTTTTACTAAGTTGATAATTTTCTGTCAGATCCCATAGTGCATCATCAATTTCCATAGAGAATCCCTGCCAATGCTGTCAAAAGCTTTTTCATAGTCTATGAATCCAATGCAAAGTGGTGAATGCAATTCAATGCTCTGATCTATTATGCATACTGTGGCTATCTCGTCAGTACAGAACCTGTCTGGACAAAAACCTGCCTGTTCATCCCTTAGCTGTTTATCAATAGCATCTTCCAGTATTGCAAAAATAATCAGGCGCACGTGCGTGCATGTGTGTGAGTGAGTGCATGCATGCGTGCGTGCGTGAGTGTATATGTGCATGTGTGATTGGATGGACACTTTGAGATGAGTACCAGCACCTGTTTATTTTTCCTTCTAGAAAAAAGCACTGGGTATAACAGTATATAAACAATGATAACAATACAAAACAGCACTGGGTATAACAGTATATAAACAATGATAACAATACAAAACAGCACTGGGTATAACAGTATATAAAAAATGATAACAATACAAAACAGCACTGGGTATAACAGTATATAAACAATGATAACAATACAAAACAACACTGGGTATAACAGTATATAAACAATGATAACAATACAAAACAGCACTGGGTATAACAGTATATAAAAAATGATAACAATACAAAACAGCCCTGGGTATAACAGTATATAAACAATGATAACAATACAAAACAACACTGGGTATAACAGTGTATAAACAATGATAACAATACAAAACAGCACTGGGTATAACAGTATATAAACAATGATAACAATACAAAACAGCACTGGGTATAACAGTATATAAACAATGATAAAAATACAAAACAGCACTGGGTATAACAGTATATAAACAATGATAACAATACAAAACAGCAGTACACACAGTACAACATAAATAACAGTAGTAAAACAGTACAACATAAATAACAGCAGTAAAACAGTACAACATTAATAACAAAAGTAAACACAGTACAGCATAAATAACAACAGTAAACACAGTACAGCATAAATAACAACAGTAAACACAGTACAGCATAAATAACAACAGTAAACACAGTTCAGCTTAAATAACAACAGTAAACACAGTACAGCATAAATAACAGTCAACACAGTACAGCATAAAAAACAGCAGTAAAACAGTACAACATAAATAACAACAGTAAACACAGTACAGCATAAATACAGCATAGATACAGCATAAATAACAACAGTAAACACACTACAGAACCAAAGTGGTATTGAAGTACAGAACTACAGTGGTAGCAGTATATAAATATAGTATTCTTCAATTGTAGACAACTCAGCAGCTGTAAGAATACCAAGACCAGATACTGATACTTTACTCGAAAGTAAGCAAATCAACTATATTTTGGCTGACCAGAGCTGACATCTCAGATGACACTTGACCTGAAAGCAGGCAAATCAGCTGCTGGTGTTGACTGCCAAGAGTAGACAACACATTAGTTACTTCCCTGTCATGAGCAGACAACTCAACACCACACAACATCACAAGACACCACTACTTCACCTTGTCTCTGGGAGTGAGTTTGGTCCAAGGTTTGTCTGCTCGTCTGTCATACTCATGTGCATCAGTAACCTCTACGTAATCACTAAAGTCGATAATTTTTCTCTCTCTTAGCTCTTCTATACTGGGTCGGAAACTGAGCTGTAACAAAGAAAACACGATTAAATGAGTGATCAGCTTCTACTGTTTCAACAGCAGTGTTGTACAACTATATAATTACAACAAAGCAAGCTAAGTAAAGTAACAATTAAAGGGCATTTAACATGTCTTCAAGCCTTTTGGGCACATAGGGATGGACCTATAATTTACAGACCAATCAGCACTCAGTGGCTGATGTGGTTAACATCACGGTGAAGCAAGGTAAGCTATATTAAAGTTATTGGCAGTACCAAAGCAGATCCTCCTGATGGGGTGTGAACTCAATTCTAAAAGTTGTCTGGTACTAATAACCAGATGACTCAAAGGGATCCATGAGACATCACAGAGAGAGAACTGACCTGCCAACTTAAAAACACTAAACAAACTCCCGGAAATGAGTTGGCCGATAGACTTGCCAAAAAAATGGAACAAAGGAGAAGCAACACACCCATTCATTGTCATTACCAGAAATTAAAACACTTATCAAGAGAAAATACAAGGAATTGTGAAGAGAACAAGCTAGCAGAAAACATCCATAAAACCCCATCAGCAGACTTCACAGAAAGCAACATACAAGTATTTTCCATCTAAGAACAGGACCACATGCATAAAATAAAGAAGGTACAGTCCCCACAGTGTGCATGTCAGATGGGACCACAAACATTGTGGAATGACCACAGCCACCCCTACACTGTAGACTATTTGTGACGCTGGCACCCCTAGCAGGCAGGTCACATTCAAATATAGACCCGTCCGGTGGGTATATAGTCCATCATGTCTATTTATACCTTTATCTGACGAAATAGATATTTCTATATGTTCTGGGTCTTTTGAAAAGTCTACATTTTCAAACTTACAGTTGTAGGGTAGAGATTCTCTGTGTAAATATTCTTAATCCGAGAAGACTATTCACTCCTCAGTGTATTGACCTATGGGGCTGCTTTCTTTGAAGTGACGCCAAGGGTCTCTCTCATTCTCAGCCGGGATTCCATGCAGACCAGAAGTGTTCTACTTTTGTGCTTAATTCTGTCTAGAACAAAGTACCAGTTTATCAGGAGGAATCCTAAGTGTGGGTAAGTCAATTATAGTTTACGAGTACCATGTATCTATATCTATATATTTAACCCGCTGCTGAGTTGAGGAATGATTCGGCTATGAGACATTACAGAGTGAGACTACTCTTGTTGTCAAAAGACTCCCAGCCACCTGAATCAACCCTTGCCCTTTTCAAGCTGAGAGTATGTGCCCTACCTAAACCAATATAGGCATCAGCTTACAGGCCACCAGTTGTCATCCCACAGAAGGACCTGCAGCTGACATGCGAGTTAATAGAGGAAAAGCACCTGATGATTGGACCTGAACATATGAAACCAAATGCAAAGAAGAAAGAAGAAGAAGTAGTAATCTGTAATCTAAATGAAGCTGAGTTAGCCTCAGAGCTGTACTGCCAGGAAAATATCCTGCATCTGTTGTGAACTGAACTCATGCTGCTGTGTTACATACCATATTAAAGTGAGGATCTATATTGGTTCTTGGGTTTCTTCTACTTCATTGCAGCCCCTTTCATCTGCTCGAACCATCAGTTATGCTGCATTAATGAACTGGCATGTCAAAAGCAAGTCTCCAATGGTTCCCCAAATTTTGTCCTGGATGCCTATTCCCTCTGGCCATCTGTTTCCTCACAAGTCTTGCTGCAGGGGAAAGTTCTGCAAAATGTGCTCAGGTGTTTGGAGTGCAATTTGGTAGGGACACTGAGCAGTTTGCGTAGCCTTAATTCTGTGCTTATGTGCATTTAGTCTGCAGTTTCCTGTTCTTAGTCCAAAACTTGTGGTGCACTACCATCTGTTTAGTCTGCTGACTGGGTCTTCTGGATGTCTGTCATTTGTTCTCCTCCCCAAGGACTTTCTAAACTTCTCCTTGAACAGAGTCTTTACTTCTTGCTGTGATATGGGATAGAGGTCCTATTTTTCATGTGTTCCCACTTTGGCCAGTTTATCTGCTATTCGTTCCTTTACTGTATGTTATTAGGGCCCTTTGGAGAAGCAAAAAATAGTTAACAGTGCACTTTACCAAGTATGTTACAAGAGGCTACGAAGAGTAGGGTTCCTGTTAAGGCTGACGATCCTATCTAGTAAAAATTAAACTTCATCTGCAAAAGCCAACCACTTTAGTTGAGGACATGTTCCATCAGGGGATAAAGGGGAGGAGGAGGAGAAGGGAGATGAAGAGATGGAAGAAGAAGAAAAAGTATCAACATTAGGTGGGGGAGGAGGAGGAGAAAAAGAATTACCTTGCATGGACTGAAAGAGGTTAACAGCTTAGACAGCTCTATCTAGAAACCGAAAAAAGGGAAACACAGTAGCATAATCTACAACATATATGCCTACATTATCAACTCACATAACTCAGAATGCTGACTAACCTTCCGAATTAAGTAACGTTTCTTTCTCTCTTTCTCTGCTTTTGCCTCCGCAAGTGATTGTTCTGTAAATGAAATTGAAGTATGATATATTATATAAGTTTCCCTTACAGTCCTGTAAATGAAATGAGGAATGAAATAAACAATTTTCCATTATCTTCTTCTTCTTTGTTCACCGGCTGTGAGCTCTGGTGAAAGACCTGGTTGTTCATCAAACTTGGACTTTGGCTTTGTGCCAAGGCCTGAGTTCTGAGTGTACATCCATTTTACTGGCTTATTTGTGTGCAGTTGATGTTCCTTGTCGCTCAGGCAGATGCACTCTGTATTCAAAGAAAGCTCTCAATTAGTTGATCCCTACGACATGCTTGTCATGGTGGCAGTGCATCTAGTCTTATTTTCCCCCAAAAATGGGACCCCAGAACCCATACAGGGAAGTTTCCCTTATAATATCTGTTGTATAAACTAAATGAAGAATGAAATAATAAATAAGTTTCCTTTACTAAGCTTGTTCTGTAAATAAAATGAAGCATAAAATAATTAAGTTTCTTTCACTAAGTTTGTTCTATAAATCCTGTTCTTAGTATTCACCAGCTGTAAACTCTGGTGGAAAGATTTGCCTTTCAAACACTTGAGTTTTGCATGCAAAACTGCTTTACAGATCTTGGGTGCACATCTGTTTTGCAGATCTGGATTAATGTAAGGAGACTGTTGGTTTCTTGCCTCTCAACCAGATGCACTTCTACTTTGAAGGAAACACACCTAATAAGTCAGCTTTTATGACATGCTTGTTAGGGATTTATTCTTGTTTTCCCCAAAATGGGGCCCCTGAAATCCACATAGGGAGGTCTGTTAATAAAAAAAAAGTACAAAATAAAAATAAGTCTCCTTGATTACCTCAGCCAGTCTGTACGTGCTTTACTGTCGCATCACTTAGCAGGGGTCACCATGATCAAGCCATTTTCTTGTCCTCTGAAGGTCACGGTCTTCCCCTTGTTCTGTGTTTATTGTATTTTTCAAAGTGACTTTCCGTAGCAGCTAACACCAGATGTCTTGTTAACCAGCATAAGACTGGCACTATTAACTTCAGGATGCTGATGTGTATGTTAAAGGGAGGATCTGAGCACCAATGGATTTGTCCGGAGTGTTGTGAAGATAACCCATTTCATAACTTATGTAGCAGCTAGTACATGACATTATTGTCAAAGGGCCAAACCACCTTATGCACTGCTCCTTAATGAACTGTGAATGACTAGTTCCAGTTCTAGTCTTCTACTAATTTCTTCAATTTTAATTTGATCTTTTTATGATACTCTGGCAGCTGTTACAAGACATCTCATTTCTGTGGTGATGAGACAAATCTAACTCTAATAAATACAAATTCTTATCAGGGTTAATGTACAGTATTTCAGAGTTTAAAGAATGCTGAATTAGGAATCGACATCACAGCACTCGGAACACTGCTATAAGCACTCCATCCCCATTTTCAGCAGCAAGCGAAGAGTTCCAATTCCTACGGCACCAGTAACTGTCTAATTGCATATCTGTCTCACCTTTCCCTCGAGTGTTGAGCATCAGCCAGATCCCATGGTAACTCTTCGCAATGCCATTCTTCTCAGACCATAATAATCTATCTGTGCCTACACACAGTTCATTCGCTCCCAAAAGGCCCTCTCAACATCTAGCATGCCATCCTTTATTTTAAGAGTTTTAAAATATCAATCTTACAGACCAAATAACCTCACTCTTTTCATTCCTCTTTCTTGCATATGTATGCTTGTATTAGCTAAACTGCCTGAATGCATGCTCTCCTTGTGTTTAATATCTCAGTTTCTACAGCTGTCACAAATATTTGGGAAAAATTAGTTACGCTAGATGTCTGAATCAATTAACATCGAGGACTCACGGTGAAGAATGTTTCTGTTTTCCAATTCTTCCTGAGTGGGTCGTAAACTCAGACGTCTGTAAACAAAAACAATTTGGGCTAATTATAAATTTATGAAACGAAAATAAGATACATTGTAACTCCACAACAAATAGAATACATCTGTAGAGAGATCTAAAACTGTACTTCTTCTTCTTAAAGTCCATGCTGTGTGGCATTGGTAGTCATGTCTATCCACAACCTTCTGTCTTGTATACTTTCAATTAACTCTGACACAGATGATCCATGCCATGTTGTCAAACTGTCCAGCATCTCCTCCAACTTTCCTACCATCACGATGTACTCCAGTTTTCTACTTCTCATCACATGACCAAAACTACACACATGTTTAAATGTAAAGTATAAAGAAGTAATGATTGTGGTTTTGTGTACAAAATAATTGCACCAGCTTTTTTGAACATATACATGTGCAAGACAAACACGTTATTCAAACTATAAAAGTACACTTAGGAAGTAGAGATACTTCAGGTCTTTGACTTACAGTCCATGCCCTAAAGCACGGGTAGTCATGTCTACCCACAACTTTCTGTCTCGTGTATTTTCAATATAACTCTGACACAGACAATCTACCATGCCATGATGTCAGAACTCCAGAATGGGTTTTCAAAATCTTACATCTTACTTGTTACCTCATCCCAAAGTGGGGCCAGTCCAGCCAGCCTGTCTGCCTGCTCATTTCCCAAACACACCTACACTGCTCGTGCAAACATCAAAGAGATTCTCACTACCTGTGATTTCTGGACTGATGTGACCCATTCCATATGAAGAAAACCTGACTCCACCTCACCCATCACAGTGTCCAGTTTTCCATGTAGGATATGTTCTGATTACTTTAAATCCTGGTATGTCAGTCAGTGAAACTGCATTCACAACCCTTAAGCCAAATATGCTGACCAAGCACAGTTATATCAGGAAACAAGCAAAAGAATTCATTCAACTGGCTCCTCAGAATATTCTAGGCTATATGAAATTATTAAATAAGACAAAAATAAATCAAAGTAAGAGACACATTTTGTTAAATCTAACAATGTTCCAATGAATCAAGATAAACACCTTGTAAGTTTGGTACCAATGGCCTCCCTCAGTTCTTTCTTCTCCGTTTCTGTCTGAGCTGGAATTATATTTTTAGCTACCAGCTCATTTTTGGAGGGTCGGCTTTCCAAAAACCTGGCTAGGCTATCATTGCGAGCCACTCTGGCAGCCAGGGAATCTGTACAGAAACATTAAAACAAATGAATGTTAAATCATCATCAAGAGCTTTGCCAATCGGGGTGAGCAATCATGCTTCTCCTCGCCTTGAAATCTCTGATAAAATATATAAATGCAGGTGCTAACAGCCTTTTATGCAAAGACCAAAGGCTCCAAAGATCTTTCCTTTTTGTCTTCCTTTATCTCTCTTTCCATAAATCTTTCTGGCTGTTGCAACAGGTATTAGTTATTCTCTTTTAATGTGGCCAAAATATGACGATTGCCTTTTTTTTCATGTTTTTGACAGTTGTCTTCGCATTTCAGCCTTTCAAAATATTTGTATTGTTCATTTTGACTGCCAAAGAATTCTGAGAATTGTGTGTGTTTGTATGCGTAAAACCATGTAACTGAGGTCTGAAGAAATTTTCTGGATTGTTCACTGTTGTGTTTGTTTGCTCTCCCCAACTGCACACTCCAACAGAAAGTCCTGGCTGTTTTCCATTTCTGGGCCTTGACTTTGTTTCAGGATCTGAGTTTTGTGTGTCCATTCATTTAACAGATCTGTGCAGTCTGCTGTTTCCTTGCCTATCAGGCAGACGCACTCCCTATTCGAAGAATAGGATGGCTGTAGCCAATCCAAACCTTTTGTTGCCATTTTTCTTTATTCAGCAGGTGAGTTGTTACAGGCTGCACACTCCTTAGAGGGTGTGACTTCTATGTCCACATCCGCTTGTTTAATAACTGTCCTCCATTCACAGCCATATGTCCTGCACGTACTACGCCAGATGTGGTAAAGTTCAGTGTACAAAAGTCGTCAATTCTTTCAACACTTTTTAAAAAAATCATCCTTAGGCAGATACTTTTTTTTTTGAAACGTTATGAAACCACTGACCACTTTCAAGTGCCTTGCACTTTTAAATGTCAGGGGTCAGCTATTACAGCCATTCTTACAGGTGCAAGCTCGTTATATTGGGGGAGGGGACTGTGGGGGGGGGGGGGGGGGGGGGGGGGTGTGTGGTGTCCCTTGAACAGCTGCAAAGGAGAACACCTTCATAAAAAACACAATGGGCTAATAAGATTAAGGCAAAAGCAGAACTTAGATGAACAACAACAGAATCTTTGATTACTGTAACCATCACCCAATTTAGTAGAAGCTCAAGGTAAGTCTCTATGGCAGTGATTAAGCCATTTGCCTAACGCTCTGCAGGCTGTTTGTTTAGTTCCTGATTCAGCTTTTCAGTTTACAATTGCAGGTGTTTCAGAGATCCTTGGAAAATAAGGAATGTGTGCTGTGTTCTGTGCTTTTGATAGATATCCAGCCTTTTGGGAAGAGAGAGACCAAGCCAAATGGCATACAATCTTGTCCAATTATCTTGGATCATCTTACCCTTAAACAACCTTTAAACAAAGTTGGTACATTAAATTCTGCCCAGCTGATGTAAGTCTACAAAGTATTATATGCTCACATCTACTAGGTTACTGCTAAATATCTCCTAAAAATGATCAGGCATCCATTTGTTAACCCTGTCGACCCAGGAGCCCACAAAACTTACATTTCTAATTGCAGCCCATTTCCTACAAATGTCACTTTATAGAGACCTAATTACGGGATGTATAGTTAATGCTACTGGTTATGTTCGCGCCTGCAGACAGGTTTATGAGGTCAGGATGTGAATATATTATCTAAAAACTGGGGGTGGGGGGATGTTGATTTCAACCAAATGTCTTTTTAAAACCAAGTTAATATTAAATTTTCCTGTAAGCCTCCGTGATAGAGGTGTCACTGGGTCATGGCATAAGTCACCTGATGCATATATCTTTTAAGCTCCGGGAATGTTCCAGTTAATGTTTATTGATTACTCCCTTCATATATCTTTCTATATAAACTAAATCTACATCATGTTTTTTTTTAATGTGTTTACTTTATTAGTGACCTGTATACAATTTGTTAATAAAGGATTCGTTTTTTAAGATTCCCACAGGGTCATAGCCCTTTATCATGTTTTTATTTTTTTTCAACATTACTGGGCCAAAAATGGTTAAGGCTACTGCTTAGGACTGAACTTCAGGCCACCGACTGGGTGAGCTTTGCACATAGCCATGGCTGACCCAAAGGGTTAAGGCTACTACTTAGGACTGAACTTCAGGCCACCGCCTGGGTGAGCTTTGCACATAGCCAGGGCTTACCCAAAGCAGACTGTTGTAACTATGATCACTCACTTGGATCATAGTCATCTCGATATCTGATCTCATCATCCTCCGAGTCTGAATCTTCAGGTGGGTTGTCGTGGTCAGGGGCTGCACTGATTTCTATCACAGGCTGAGCATTTTCTTTATTACTCTCATGGTCTCCTCTGCAATGAAAGAAAGAAATGTAGAAATAAAAAGAAGAAGAAAAAAACAAGGAAATGCAGAACTGAAAGATTAAAGAAATTAAAATTTAAAAAATAAAAAGACTTTTATCCTAGTCAACTTGTTATTTAAAAAGATTTGTTAAAATGTCAGTGATAGATAGGACATTTTGAACAGACATCATAATATAAATGAGAATGTTCTAGCACCGGAACTCACACGACCAAAGAAATAACAGGAGACAAATCAAAACACAAAGAAGAAAAAAGAACAGGTAAGCTGCACATGATGACAAAAGAGAAGATGATTTGGCATAAGTTGGCAGAGGACCTATGCTCCGGTGGAGGATAAAGAACAGAAGAAAAGTGCCTGACTGAATCATTTTGATTTAATTCAAAGACCGTCTTCAATGGGCTTCCTTTTATCAATCAGTGCTTACTTTTATTTTTTAAACCCTGTTGCCCAGAGAAAGCCATTTGTCTGACATTTAGGGGTTTTTGATTATATGAAGTCTTTGGGCAGTGGCCACCATAACTTAGTAACAACTTTGGTGTTGGTTGCAACTGCATTGCGTGTAGATGTGGTAGGTATGATTTAAAAAAAAATAAAGTAAAGGACTCTTTTCCACCCCTTTAGGCGTATAGGGCACATAGGGCTAACCTATATTTTATAGACCAACAGCATAAGATGGGTGATGTGGTCTGCATCACGCCAGCCGCCTCTACTTCCCGGGACTGCACCCGGTACCCCTTCAAGGCTGGGTCGACCTGGGAGCCAAGGTCATTTTTGAAGAAAAGTCCGGCTCCGCCGGGAAGCGAACCTACGACCTTCCGATCCGCGGTGCGCACCTAGCCGCGACTCCCGGTAGGTATGATTATATTTAACCATCAACAAAAACATGTTTTGAAATATGGGTGGGGGGGGGAGGGGTGGTTTTTTAATTTTTGTCATTATGACATAATAATACATTTTAGTACACATCAGGATGATGCCTGTCTGCTCAGTGGTCATAGTTTTAACCTTCCCTGGATTTTATAAAAATTGACCAAGACTCAAATTTTTTTTTGACTTCTTCTTCTCTTCCTCGAGTTTCTTAAAGTAGAAATTCAGCGACGTCTAACAATCCTTTTATTTATAATGTAATTTTTTTTAAATAAAATAATTTCTTTTAAGATTCTTAGGGGGCGAAAGGGTTAAGTCAAACCAGGAGATTCCCAGCTCAGTGTATCAATTTTCAACACTAATCCCAAAGTGCGCACCCTAGAATAATACATATTGGGAATATTTTTATCTGTACATTTTTCAGCTGAGACAAAGTGGTAAATTAAGTGTTCTTTGACACAAGATAAACATTAAATTAAATACACATTTCTATAAAAGATAATAAAGGACTCTTACTGTACAACCCCTCCTCACCTTCTTTCTCCAAAAAAAGTTATTTTATATGAAGAATGAGATTGAGATTTGCCACATTCATTTGCCAATAGTTTGCAGTATGGCTTCGACATGCTGGCCTTCTTAATGATGAGTGATGGCTAAGATGACAGCTCAAAAATATTCAGTGATTATAATTATTTAAAAATTATAATCATCCTCATCATAAAGTAACTTGCCGACCAGCATGCTTGATCATGCTTCTCCACACTTTATATCTTCAACATCCCTTTAAAGTCGGAGTACATCTGCCCAAGAGGCAAGGAACAAGAACTGCACACAAATAAGCCAGTAAAACGGATGCACATGTGAAACTAAGGTCCTTGTATGAAGTCAAAGTCCAAATGGACGAAGAACAAGGACATTCGGTTGGAATTCACAGCTGGTGAATGCAATGAGGAAGATTTCTCTAACAGATTGTATCAGGTTTTGTACTTAACAGATTGTATCAGGTTTTGTGCTAACACCCCACCATGCCTTTACTTCTCTTTTCACCTGTCACAACACATTAAGTTGTTTTTTTCATCTTATGATGTGGCCAATAAAATGATGACTGCCTTTTTCTGATGTTGGTGATGAGTTGTTTTCGGGCCTTGACCTCTTTCTCAACAACTTGATTACTCACTTTGACTGTCCACAGAATTTTAAGGATCTTCTACAAAACCAATCTTTGAGTTTAGGGTATTTTCCAGCTTGTTTATGTCCAGGGTTCACAGCCACATGTAAAAAATAATTCTATGTAGAAGGGAAGAATTCTTTTTCTAACATCCATTGATAGGTATTTATTGCAAGATGTTCTTTATTTTATAGAATGCAGTTTTTGCCTGTCCCATTCTGATTAACACTTATTATCACCAATTATCACTACTTTTGTTTCTACTTTTATTTTTACTTGGTATTATTTAATTGTTTATTTTTTAATTACCAACTTTCACTATTTTTACACAGTAACAGCGACAAACTGATTTGTGACAAACACTTGCTTACTCAGCTTGCCCTGTGACCTTGCCAGATGTGGCCATCTTAATGAGGGGTGAAGGCTGAGGTGAGCCCTCCTTTGAGGTCCCATCTGTGTGTCTGGAGAGCGGCGGTGGTGCAGGAGGTGGGAGAGCACCGGCTGTCAACCCTGCACCTGACACAGCTCCTCCTGGTGTGGGACTTACACCAGCCTGACTCATGCCCAGGGGTCTGGTGGTCCAGCTAGAAGCTGTATGGAGGAAGATGATGATGAAATGTATTTACTGCTGATGTGTGTATTAGCGGGAAGATCCCGAATGGTTTAGTGCAGTGATTTTCCATGCCCCCATGTATAAGAGTACCTTATGTATAAGACCCCCACCCCCCAATAATATACCCTCATGAATAAGATGCCCCCTTGTATAAGATGACCCCATGTGTAACACGCTTCCATGTGTAAGATGCCCCCAGGTATAACACGCCCCCAATGTACCCATGTATAAGACACCCCCCATGTTTAAGATGCCTCCAGGTATAAGATGACCCCATGTATAAAATGCCCCCATCTATAAGACGTCCCCCCCCCCCAACCCAACCCCTACCGTCACCCCCACCCCCAACCCCGACTCCCATTTAAGACACCCCAAATATAAGAAGCCTCCATGTATAAACGTCCTTCTCCCCCCCCCCCCTTTTTGCGTATAAGATGCCCCCATGTATAAGACGCCCACCCAGTATAAGACACCCCAAATATAAGAAGCCTATATGTATAAATTTCCTCCTCCCCCCTTTTCCTGTATAAGATGCCCCCATGTATAAGACGCCCAACCCCCACCCCGTATAAGACACCCCAAATATAAGAAGCCTCCATGTATAAATGTCCTCCTCCCCCTTTTCCCATATAAGATGCCCCCACTCCCACCTCCCACCATGTGAGATGCCCCATGTATATGATGAACTTATGTATAAGACCCCCCCCCCCACCCACCATATAAGACAACCCCATGTATAAGACAACCCCATGTATAAGATGCCTATATGTATAAGACGCCTTCCCCCCCACCCCTCCACCCATACAAGATGCCGACATGTATAAGACAACCTCCCTCATGTATAAGACCCACCCCCCATAACATGCCCCCATGTTTAGGACGTCTCCATGTATAAGACGATCCAATGTATTATACTCCCATGTTTAAGATTCCTCCACCCCTTCCCTTATAAGACACCACATGTATATAAAACACCTCAATGTATAAGATGCCCTCCCCTGTATAAAGACCCCCCCCCCCCCCCTGTATAAAATGCCCCAAGTATAAGACCGCCCTCCACCTGTAAAAGATGCCCCCACGAATAAGATGCCCAATGTACAAGACCCTCCCCCCCATACAAGATGCCCGCATGTATAACACCTCCCCCTCCCGTAAAAGATGCACCCACACATAAGACGCCTCATGTAAAAGATGTATGTATTGGATGCCCTCCCCTTTCCCATATCAGAGGCATCCATGCATAAGATGCTCCCTCCCACCTCCCTCATATAAGACACCTCCATGTATAAGATGCCCCCATGAATAAAACATCTCCATGTATAAGATGCCCCCATGTATAAGACATCTCCATGTATAAGATGCCCCCATGTATAAGACACCTCCATGTGTAAGATGCCTCTATGTATAAGACACCTCCATGTATAAGATGCCCCCATGTATAAGACACCTCCATGTAAAAGATGCCCCTATGTATAAGACACCTCCATGTATAAGATGCCCCCATGTATAAGACACCTCCATGTATAAGATGCCTCTATGTATAAGACACCTCCATGTATAAGATGCCCCCATGTATAAGACACCTCCATGTATAAGATGCCCCCATGTATAAAACATCTCCATGTATAAGATGCCTCTATGTATAAGACACCTCCATGTATAAGATGCCCCCATGTATAAGACACCTCCATGTATAAGATGCCCCCATGTATAAAACATCTCCATGTATAAGATGCCTCTATGTATAAGACACCTCCATGTATAAGATGCCCCCATGTATAAGACACCTCCATGTATAAGATGCCCCCATGTATAAAACATCTCCATGTATAAGATGCCTCTATGTATAAGACACCTCCATTTATAAGATGCCAGACATGTATAAGACACCTCCATGTATTAGATGCCCCCATGTATAAAACATCTTCATGTATAAGATGCCTCTATGTATAAGACATCTCCATGTATAAGATGCACCCATGTATAAGACACCTCCATGTATAAGATGCCCCCATGTATAAAACATCTCCATGTATAAGATGCCTCTATGTATTAGACACCTCCATGTTTAAGATGCCCCCAAGTGTAAGACCCCCACCCCCTGTACAAAATGCCCCCTTTATAAGACCCCCCCCCCCTCCTTTACCTGTATAAGACGCTCCTATATTTAGGAGGCCCTCCCCTTTCCCGTATCAGAACCCCATTGTATGACCCCCTCCCCTGTATAGGAGCCCCCCCCCCATACATAAGATACTCCATGTATAAGACGCCCCCATGTATAAGATGCCCCCATGTATAAGATGCCCCCATGTATAAGATGCCCCCATGTATAAGATGCCCCTATGCATAAGACGCCCCCATGTATAAGATGCCCCCATGTATAATATGCCCCTATGTATAAGATGTCCCCTATGTATAAGATGCCCATATGCATAAGATGCCCCTATGTATAAGATGCCCCCATGTATAAGACACCCCCATGCATATGATGCCCCTATGCATAAGATGCCCCTATGTATAAGATGCCCCCATGCATAAGACACCCTCCATGCATATAATGCCCCTATGCATAAAATGCCCCTATGTATAAGATGCCCCCATGCATAAAACACCCTCCATGCATATAATGCCCCTATGCATAAGATGCCCCCATGTATAAGATGCCCCCATATATAAGATGCCCACATGCATAAGACACCCCCATGCATAAGACACCCCCATGCATAAGACACCCCCATGTATAAGATGCCCCTATGCATACGACACCCCCATGTTTAAGATGCCCCCATGCATACGACACCCCCATGCATAAGATGCCCCCATGCATAAGACACCCCCATGCATAAGACACCCCCATGCATAAGATGACCCCTATTTATTTAGTGCAAAATTAAGAAATATTTTAAACCGTGTATCGGGTGACCCCCCCCCCCCCCCCCCCCCCAATTTAAAAGCTGAAAAATGTGGGATTCATACTGTCTTATACAGGAAAAACATATTTATTGTATATATAGGCTGCTGCCACTTTGTCCACAAATCTCTTGATGATAATGAGTTAACAAAATACATGTCACCTGTCACCAAGGGAGGAGGGGAGTCCTAATATAAACTTTGTCAGTGAGGCCTTGAACTAACTAGAACAGACTGTGTTACTGACAAGGGCTTCTGGGAAACCAAAACTGGGAAGTGTGCAGGAGGTAAAAGGAATGAGAAAGAAAAATTTGAGAGGGGAAAATTTACACGAATAAAAAAATTTTTTATTTTAAGCTGGAAGCATGCATATGAAAATAATAGATTTAAAAAAGAAAGAAAGGCAAACAGACAGATGAATAAGATAACAATCATCCCTGTGCATGTTCCAGGGCCCCACTGTGTGGAAAACAAGAATAGACCCACTACCCAAAAGCGTGTTAACTAACTGGGTGCTTCTTTCAAAGTCGGAACGCTTCTGCTTGAGAGGCAAGGAACAAACAGTCTACATACAAATGAGTCAGATCTGTAAAATGGATGTGCATGCACCACTCAGATTCTGGAAAATGACTACAGTCCAGAAGTGGACAAACAACAAGAACTTTCCCCCGGAGTTTACAGCCAGTAAAAACAAGAAAATAAAAATTACAACATAAAAATCTTAATGCATGAGAGAAAATGAACTTGAAAAAAAAATCACAGAGAGACAGGCAGACAGACATAGGCACATGCAAAAATAGCAACTGAAAAGGAAGAGGGACAGACAGTAAGACAGACTGACAGGCAGGCAGAAAAATGGATATGAAGAAAGAAAAAAATGAAAACAAACATGTGCACATGAAAAAAAAAAATGGAGAAGGACAACAAACAGAAAGACGCATTTGAAGAAAAGGAATAGAGAAGGAAAACAGACCAGGCAAGACACTGAACCTCCACCATCCCTCCACATAAGTAAAATGTTGGCATTATGCAAAATTCACCCAAGTGCAATTTTGGCAATTTTCACCTAAGTGCATTTTCAGGGCTATTATTTGTCACTCTATAATATGCCAAAGGCACATATGTTAATTAATTCTCCAAGTACATCAAAATGAAGTATTACTTTTCAGGCAAGTATACAATTTTTCTTTGCCATTTTGCCAAAGTAAAATGTTTGGTTCTTTATTTTTTATTTACCCCAAACATGGGGAACCCTGAAGTTCTCCAGAAAGTCCAATATTATAGGAGTGTTACGGTTTGAAATAAACAGACTAACCCTAACCCTATATTACTAGATTTTATGGGGAACTCCGGGAATCCCTGTGTTTGGTGTACATAAAAACTAAAGAACCAAACATTTAAAAGTGACTTTATCGAAAGAAGGATTAAGCATTTAGGTGACTTCGGCCGAGTGCTAGCGATATGCATATATAACCAAATGCACTTAGGTGAAAATTTGGCATCAGGCAGGGCACCACATAGAGCAATGTTATACAGATACAGCGGTAATAGAGCCAGAGGTCGACCACACAGAAGATGGACTGTAGAAATATCAGAGACACTGAAAAGTATTTTATACAAAGTGAACAAAAGGGCCTGTTCCAGATATCTCTTCCTGCCCTAATGCTGTAAGGCATTCCAGGAACAGAGAAAAGAAAGAAGATGACGAAACATGTGGTTTACTACAACTTACCCCCGGTTACTGGGTTAGACTTTTTCAGTGCAGATTTCTGTGGCTTCTTGTTCAAGTCAGGCTCACTGGCCAGAACGGCTTGATAAGGTGAATGAGGGTCTGGGTCTGTGATGTATTTACTGAACATGCCTTCACTATCATCATCTTCATCTTCTATGGCTTCATCCTCATGGTCAGAATCCTGTTCCTGATGAACTGAAATATGAATTTCAACATCTTGATCACAAACATGAAGATGGCTGTTAGGTCAGATTTTACAGTGACTCTGTGACTTAAGGTTAGTGAACATGTTTAACAATTTCATGGTCCTCAAGCAACGAGTTTGATTTAGGTGGAGAACGGTATAATAATTTTAAAAAATTTAAAAATGTGTGAGTTCCAGATAGTAGTATAAGAGTTGCACTGTGGAAGAGATGGGGCCTAGCCATATGTATTCCCAAAGACACCCAAAGCAGCCAACTTTCACTGAGGGGACAGTACATAATTTGTTTTTTCATTGCAAATTAAATTACAGTGAAACCATGTTAGTATGAATTCCAAGAGACCGGAAATTTGGAGTTCATATTAAAGCAGTCTGTGCTGAGGACTAACACTAATAGTGTTCTTAAACAAGTTCAAATCAATGGCCTTTTTTTTTTTTTTTTTTTAACGTATCCAGAAACCATGAGTTGTAAACCCTTTGGCTCGGTACTATGGATATCGCAGCCTTTCAGCCTTGATTCCATTATAGGTACCGTTAATCTGGGAGAAATGTGGCTTTTCTGCCTACCCCCGGGAGTGAACCCGGACCACAAGGAGTTCGTCACCCGGCCGCCGCGAAAGTCAGGTTTAACCAACTTCGCTAGAGAGCATCAATGGCCTTTCACTGTAGTTACATGTCCCTTTCAAGACTGCACAGCAGCCAATTTCATCATGTTACACTGTGCTACAGACAGCCAGGGAAATCAAAGCCCATGGCACTGATGAATGTGACTAGGAAGACCAGCTCATGTTAAGAAAAGTATTCCACAACAGGTGCAAGGGATTACGGGATCACTGCTGCCATTACATGTATTCTCAAATGGTCAGCTTTTAACATTTTTCATTCATTTTCTACTCTGCTACTATACCTTACTGATTGCTTCCTTCCAAGCAACATAATCCACGGTACACTGTTCCCATGAATTAATCTCCCTACCAGTATCATAACTGCAAGCCTTGCACAAATCTTTATATTGTAGTAGAGAATGCCCCAACATCTTCTATGACTTTGCATACCAATCCCAGCATTAACTGGAATGAGGCCTATAACCCACAGCCCCATACAGCTTGAAGTTCAATGCTGATAATGTCAGCCACTATTTCCTTCTTTCTTGTAAAATTGACAATCCTGCAGAACATGTATAACAATTAACAAAAATTTATTTGCTAAATCCACATATGTCGTGAAGCAGAGAGACAGGCCATTTTGTTAGTCCTATGACTAATGACCTGTAGCATTAGCCCATAACCGGCTACTGTAACAGCCAGGCTGCACAGAAGGTAACTAAGGGAAATTATAAATCCACATATGTCATGAAGCAGAGAGACAGGCACATTTTGTTAGTCCTATGACTAATGATCTGTAGCATTAGCCTATGACCGGCTACTGTAATAGCCAGGCTCCACAGAAGGTAACGAAGTTATAAATCAACATTACCCTGCTCGTTACCCACATGATATGGTTTCCAGGTTAATTAGTGGTATATTGTATTCAGGATGTTGCAGAACAAACATCAGCAGTTTTAGGTAATCTTACATTCAGTGGTTTGCCATTGCTCTCTGAGCGGTCGGCTCTCATTACCATTGTCAAAATTAACACAAAGCGGTCTACTGTCAAATCACCTGCAGCCAGAACTTCTTCTTCTTCTATGTTCACCATCTGTTAGCTCTGGCACAAAGTCATGGTCCATTGGACCCCTTTGTGGGGGGAAACAAGAACAGACTCACTCTCCCCAACAAGCATGTCATAGGAGTTGACTAACTGGGGACTTCTTTCGAAGTCAGAGTGCATCTGCCTGAGTGGCAAGGAACAACCAACTGCACACAAATAAGCCAGTAAAACAGATGTACAAGTAAATCTCAGGCCCTGGCACAAAACCAAAGTCCAAATGGACAAACAACCATGACTTTCTGCCGGAGCTTACAGCTGGTGAACAGAGAAGAAGAAGAAGAAAAACAGTTCAGCTGGATCTGTGTATCTTTTCTATTCCCTCCATGGAGATTGCCAGTCACATTTTACGTTGTTTAGCACTTCTTATCATCAACTTGACTGCAGTCACCTCCCCATTTATGTTATCACATAAAATGTGTTAGGCAGTTATAGGCCTAACTTAGAATTTGAGCTAAAACTCTTGAGGTTGACTTGTATGGGCTCACCGTGATTTGTAGATGTAGGATTCTCATCACTGAGGTGTTAGTCCTGCAGACTGTGATCCTGGAGGGAACAAACTACCTATCATACTTACCAACAACCACCACCCTTTTAAAATCCTCTCTTATGGGCTGGAATGAGACATTCATGTTAGCTCCTGCCACCATTTCTGGTGCTACTTGAGCTAGGGCTTCTGTGTACTTGGGTGGAGGTGGATGGTGGAGAGGTTCAATGAGGTCCTGATTGGTAGAGCTTGGCCACTTGGCAGGGACTGTGACAGAACAGGCATTGGTGGATGCTGACTGTGCACCTGTGGACATACATACACGCTCATATTCAAGTACCTCCCTGTGTGGGTTCCGGGGCCCCACTGTGGGGAAAACAAGAACAGACCCACTGCCTATCCAAAAGCATGTTGTAAGAGTCAACTAATCGGGAGCTTCCTTCAGTCGGAGAGGCAAGGCCTGAGAGGCACGGAACCAACAGTCTGCATGCAAATGAGTCAAATATGTGAAATGGATGTGCACACAACACTTAGTTTCTGGAACAGGACTAGAGTTGAGAAGTTGATGAACAACCAGAACCTTCCGCCAGAGTTTATGAAGAAAAAGAAGAATATTCAAGTAGCTTATAACTGATTCTCTTCTTTTTAACATTTACTGGCTGTGGAAAGTTCTGATTGTGTGATAACTTTCAGACGTCAATCTTGTTCCAGAACTTGAATTCTGCATGCACATCTGTTTTACAGATCTGGCTTATTTGTATGCAGACTGTTGGTTTCTCAACTCTCAGGCAAACAGATGCACTCCGACTTTGAAGAAAACAATCCTAACTCTAGTCACTTTTTACAACAAGCTTGTTGGGGGCTGTGGGTCTTTAAAAATTTCAACCAAATTAGAATCCTGGAACATACACTGCAAATATAACTGATTGAAAATGAATAAATGAATGAATGGACATTAACACCCTCAGGACTTTCCACTTGAACCTTGTTCCTTTCTTTGGTAGCCAAGTAAAAGAGTTCCAGTGCTGATGGTGCCAGTTCCAATGCTACTGAAAGTCCTCTACCTTTGCTCCTGTGTAATGAGCATTGTCTAGATTCTCTAGTCACTTACAATAAATCAGCCTAGTCAAAATGATATAGACTGAAAGTCAAAATACCAACAATCCCTTAACTGTGTCAGAGTTCCATACTTGAGAGGTCAGAAATCCCTCAACTGTGCCAGAGTTCAATACTTGAGAGGTCATAAATCCCTCAACTGTGCCAGAGTTCCATAATTGAGAGGTCATAAATCCCTCAACTGTGCCAGAGTTCAATACTTGAGAGGTCACAAATCCCTCAACTGTGCCAGAGTTCAATACTTGAGAGGTCACAGACACAGAATCTTTTATGGAATGAAAATGATAATGATCTGATATTTTCTAGCTTATTTGTAATTAGTCCAAAGAGCATCCTCACTACACACTGAACCGTTCAGTCTATAAGTGCAATAGACTTCTCGTTTCAAAATTGCGGCGCCAAGATGGTTTTGCAGCAACACGTGATATTATTATTAAAATATTCATTTTTCAATAACAAAGTGCCTTTGTTCATATATGATGAATATTTATTCATGGAAATCAAGTTTTCTGTGGTTTAGGTGTGTTATGATGACATTTATCCTGTCAAACAGCAGCGGTGGCTGTCATGTCAAAATAACGATAATAAAGCTATACGAACCTTGCTCCCATTTTAAATATGGGAGTCCAGGAGTAAGCTCACTGTCTACCTTAGCAAAATAAGGTGCTGAAATCGAAGGCAACCAGTGAGGAGGCACACCACAGTGTGATCCTGACATGATCTGTGTTGGTTTATTATTTTTCTTTGGCTTTGGCATGGTGCATGTCTGGCCACACCCATTTTATCTTGCAATTCTTGCACTCTAATCATGGTTGCAGATTCAGCCACTACTTGATTCTTGCAAATGTTCGTATAGCATTCAGTATAACACACTAGTCCATTGCTCGCCCACCCTTCAAAGGAGTTGTATCTACAAGTCTATCAGCTATTCCATTTCCTTTTATTTAACAGAACACAAACACACTGGACCATTTATCGCCTGACATATTTGGTTGTACCTTGTCAATGCAAACTACAAAATGTACATCAACATATGATACAATACCAACAAAATGAGTGAGTCCTCTTACTAAAATAAACAGATCACATAGTCCATGACTCACTAACTTAGACTAACAATGCATTTCTTACGTTTGTAAAACATGGGACCACCCATGTGTATTTCAATTGTCTCAGTGTATTTCAAAAATCTTCAATGATGTGTGTATGTCAAAATGATTTTATCCATCTCTACATGGTATTGATCTCAGGCTGGGCTAACATAGGGACCAAGGTCCATTTTTTGTCTTCTAGTTATCAAAAGAGATCAAACATCTGCAGCAGACCAGAAGAGATAAACATCAATACTTATGTCATAGAAGAAAAAGCTGGCAAAAGATGAATACTAAATGACATACAAAGACAGCTGAGGAAATCTCGTCTGAAAGGAATCAGTCTCATTTTTGTACCAGGACACTTTGGGGTAAGAGGGAATGAATGAGCTGATTGGCTTGCTGGCAGGGCAATGGTAGGTATAGGAAAAGAAATGGACCGCGCTGACATTCTCAATGCTCTCAAGTAGGTAGAACGAGAAGATGATTCAGGAGAGGATGCTGAATCGGCAACACTTAAAAGACTACAAGAACTGCAGGTCAAAAGAGGTGTTACCAAACATGAACACTATACAGGCAGCCAAAGAAGAATAGAAAACCAATACAGAACTGGTGTTATCAGTCGCCACACACTGAGGGACATATTGAAGATGGGATCCGAGCACTTATGGACGTCCAATGTGCAATGAGGATAATCTTTGGAGATTAACTAACTAACCAACAAAGACAGCAAATATAATGGTTTGCTCTCTTAGACAGAATGTCTTGGACGCCATGTCATAAAAGGCATACACCAAAAGAGGAGAAGAATGAAAAGTACAATAGCTGACCAAGAACATGATAGAAAGATAATATCAGAGAAACTATAACAGTATAATGTGTCCATGGTCGAGACAGCCAGAACAGGAAGAAAAAATATCATTTATCTAACCCTGGTAAAAGAGGACATGAAGAAGAAGAAGAACCAATGAGGAACTAAGAACAATAGTAGGCACAGTGCCAGTAAATGAATTCACAGAACAGCAAAGAAACTAAAGGTCACAATGGAGCAAAATCAGTCAGTAGTTCTAGTGCACTACAGGAGAACATCAGGTTACAAGTCAAGAGACCGACCAAGAAAGACATGGATGAAGGAAGAAAAAGAGACACTGGAGAAATGCAATTTGATATTAACAAGAGCTAAGTAACTAGAAAAAGACAGGCAATGACATCTAACTCCCCTCTGTGACGCTTTACAGTATAAACAATAGGACAAAAAGAGGAGAAGACGACGACGAAGCATGAATGAGAGAACAAGGTTGTAGACAGACATGATGACAACGCCCCATGTGAAGAACTTTAAAAAAAAATACTACCTGTGGTAGTCACAACTGGAGAGACTTTCTCAGCCTGACTTGGGTAAGTGATTGCTGTGTTGACAGTCGCTGGCAGCCACTGGGGAGAGCTGGTGAAGCTACTAGTAGAAGTAACAATGGCCAGAGCATCGGTGGCTGTAGAAGTGACCAGGCTGAGTGTGGCGGTCTGTGTAGGGATGTCCACATAGGAAGGGAGTGTAGATGTATGGAAGGTCTCATTCTGAGGAGAGGGCACGCTTTGCACATCAGGCTTGTCGAGGGCTGACTCTGCTCGTTTCACTTCATTTTCATTTGGTGTTTCTGTGGAAATTGGCGTCAAAAGAGTTTTACTATATAATCTTTCAAGAGATGTCACTGAAGTCAGAGTATACTAATCTTTATCCCTACAGCTGTGCCCAATTTAAGAATAAAACATATATACCCCCTCTCCCCCCCCCCCCCCACCACACACACACCACACAGAAACTGTCACTGGGATATGGAACCATAGAATATAATATAAATATGTGTGTATGTGTATGTGTGTGTGTGCACAAACCACACGCAGGCACATATGCACACACATGAGGAAAATGATTAAGACAGGAAATAAATACAGATAGGGAAAAGATAATCCTGAAACAGGAAAAGATAGTGAACCGATACAGACAGGTAACAGATGAAGACAGGAAACGGATAAGGACAGGAAACAGATATGGGTAGGAAACAGATGAAGACAGGAAAGAGATATGGACAGAAAACAGATATGGACATGAAACACAAATGGACAGGAAACACATTTACAAGAAACAGATAAAGTCAGATAAAGACAGGAAAAAGATGAAGATAAGACAGAGATAACGACAGTCTTCTATCGTAAACCTCACCAGTCTTATGTACATGGTTCTGGCTTCCATCTGGCTCCTTAATTACACCTTTTCGTATCAACTCCTCCCTGGATGACCGCATGGAGATTTTGCGCTCAATTTCTGCAAACATAATATTTCACTGTATATGGTTTACAATCCATGGTCTTTTATCTTGTGCATTGTCTTTCACACATGTGCATACCAAAGAACTAGTACACAGGCTCCATTTTGGATTCAAGGACCCCTGGAAATTATTTGGGTGGGGGTGGGGGGGGGGGTGTGTGTGTGTGTGTGTGTGACAGATCCACAAGCATGTTGTAAAAGGCTACTAATTAGGTGTTAACTTAAATCAGATGCACTAGGCCTAAAGCATAAATTTCAGCCTAGCTGTAAACCACAACATGAGGTGTCACCCACTTTTTTAATGGTGCTACTTTTCTTTGGGAGTAAACATGTCAGGCAGAAAGAGAGATCCTGCAGCAAAGGCAACATACTGCCTCCACAATGCTGCCCAGGCTTTGTGCTATGGCGAGGAGGAACTTCCTTCCTGGTCTAAACTGGTCTTGGAAACTTGGCTTAGCACTAGCCATGTTTGCTCGCCATCACCACATACAGTGATTCCTTTGCCTTTTTGTAACACAGTATAACACTATCATTTGGTAAGACGAAAAGGTGCCAAGATTCTTCTCTTTCTTCTGCTTTTCTAACCCCCAATGGAGCATAAGCCCTCAACCAACTCACAAAAAGTCATTCTATTCTTCGTTATCGCATGCAGCTCTCCTTATGTCCTCCCCATCTTTTTAACTTCTCTCTAAGTACATTCTCCATGAGTTTTTTGGTCTTCCTTTCTTTCTATACCCTGCGGGTTCCAGTGCAAAGACATTCTAGTTAAATTGTTCTCTGGTTTTCGCAGCGTGTGTACTATTCAATGTCAGCGTCTTTTCTTCACCTCTGGGCCACTGGAACTTGTTCTCTCCCAAAGCTCTACATTAGTGATTCTATCATACCAATTAATTCTCTCTATTTTGCGCAGGCACCAGTTAATGAATGTTTGTAGTTTATTTGTAACTGACTTAGTTGTTTTCCATGTTTCCATTCCATCCAACAGTACTGATTTGACATTAGAATTAAAAAATTTTAATTTTAATTCCTTTTGGGTGACAGCATACTTTTCAAAAATATTATATTCTCCCCTGTCTCTAACTGTCAGAACATGTGGGCGGTTAAATTGGTTATAAATAAACTTGTGATGCGCTCCTTGGTACTCAAAGAGTTAGAGTGTGTTCATTTGATTTTTATTCAGTGATGTGTTTATAATCTTCACGTGGGAATATAATGTCATGGCTTTGAGTTTAAGTCTCTGACTTCAATCCCTGGCTATCAAGACAAAGGAATACCCTTCTATGCTCAGGCACTGATATTTCCATTTATTCCTTTTCTCTGTGTGTACGAATAAGTTTTCTACATAAGTATCATACAGTCATGGGAGTAACACCCCTTTGTAGACATCATTTTTTTTTTATATCCATAAGATCTATAACAGGGCGATTTAACTAAGTTTACTCAATGCCAACATTTTGAAAATGGGTATAGTCATGGGCCAGAGGCTCAACTCTCAGCGTAGAAAGCTCATTAATACAATACAACTGGCAATGGTTAGCAGGCCACTTGCTAAGCCTCAAGGGGCCACTTGGTAGGCCTCTGCAAGCCATATTCAGCTAACAGGCCACAAGTTGAATAGCCATGAAAGCCATAATCTACAATATAGGTAAATCATAAATAAACTTTGGCACCAGATAGTTTCAGTTATCACTACTTCAAATTTCACTGGCACTAGTAAGAGGACATTCTGATAAGATACATATAGCCCAGCGGTTCTCAAACTATGGGTCGTGACCCTATTAGGGGTCGAATGATCCCTTCACAGGGATCGCCTAAGACCATCGGAAAACATATATTTGCTGAAGTTATGAAGTAGCAAAAAAAATAACTGTATGTTTGGGAGTCAGCACAACATGAGAAACTGTATTAAAGAGTCATGGCTTTAGGAAGGTTTACAACCACTGATATAGCCAATCTTGATGAATGGAAATGAATGACTAATAACCATAAGATTAGTCATAAATTATGTGGAAGCTGCATAAATATGGCTTTACAGAAAAATGATAACATCATGGAAAGATTTACATACATTTTTTCTCCATGTGGGTTCTGGGGCCCCACTGGGGAGAAAATAAGAACAGACTACTGCATGTCCAAAGGCATGTCGTAAGAGTCAACTAATTGGGGGTTTCTTTTGAAGTCGGAGTGCATCTGCCTGAGAGGCAAGGAACCAACAGTCTGCATATAAATAAGTCAGATCTGTAAAACGGATGTGCATGCAGCACTCAAGGCTAAAGTCTAGAGGTGGATGAACAACCAGAACATTCCGCCGGATTTTCAGCCAGTGAACGCAAAAAAGAAGAAGATATACACTTTATCATTACATATAATAAAGATGTATTGAAAGAAATCTATCAAACAGAACTGATAACTTACATCAGAACTCATAATCCACACTGTATTGGAATGTCTTGAGAAGGGGCAAAACAGAATATGTTGTGACAACTGAAAGTTAGAGGGGAACAGAGAAAGGGGAGACCACGAGAAAGAATGCTGAACAGGTTGGTTTAATGACAAGGAAGAAAATATGTATCAAAAATGACTGGCAGTCTTTATCTTCTTTCTTTGGTTCCTCTTGCCCCAGTTTGGGTGTTAAGAAAAATATAGTTTTAGTTCTTGTTCTTCTAGCCGCCTCAGCCACAGACACATCATGCTGTTGTAGAATTTCTCTGGTTATCATTCCATCTTGTTCTTGGTCTACCCCTTGCTTTACATCCTTCTCCTTTTTTTGGTGTATGCCTTGTATGTTATAGCATCACAGGGCATTCTCTCTAAGTGGGTAAACCATTTTATTTGCTCTCTCTGTATGTCATTTAGAACTTTCTTTTATGACCTCATTCCTGATTGTATCTCTTCTGGTCACTACTTCAGCCTTTCTTAGACATCTCAAATCCTTGGCAACTAATTTTCTGTTCTGGTCTGGCAGTACACAAGGCAAAATGCTGTGGACAGACTTGATGACCAAAGCCACATGCCATGGACCAAAAAACTGTAACAAGAATGCAGTTTAGATCTACTTACCAACAGCTGCCTTTTCAAAATGCTCACTCTTCTTCTTCCTCTTCCACTTCCAGGGGCGAAATATCTTACTAAGGGTAGACAATTTGCTTTTTCTTTCAACAGCGGGAAGAGTCCCGGCAAGGGAAGGAATGGCTCTGGAGTCTCCGTTCTTGCGAACATCTACCATGACACACAGGATAAGCACAATTATACAGATCTATTTGTTGATATTTCAATCAGGTTTAGACAAGTAGTTCCTGGGTGGTATAGCATGAACAGGTGGAAGGTGTTGTCGATTATGGCAACACAGTACATATACAATTAAGGATTTACAGATATCATTTACTAGTTTTATACAGTACATGTTTCTAATTTTTTAAATTTTTTTCTTATATCAGGATGATTAATAATCCTAACTGCCCATCCCCACATTAGGCTGCAGGTTGTCTCTCACAAACTTCCATGTTCTCACACTCTCTCGGTCTCTCTCTCTCTCTCTCTCTCCATTTGTCTGTCTCTCTCTCTCTCGAATACAGAAAATGACAGTTGTAGTCCAGTGAATCCCATCAATCTGTGACTGATAGGGAAATAAGAGTTTACAAATTTGCTAAAGCCACACTAACTGTTCATCCCCTCTTCATTCACTGGGATTTGTTTAGTTAGCTCCAGGAGCTCTAGTTATGACATTCCTGGTACCAGTTCTTGAGATCTGTCTTGGTAAGAGAAGGTGTCTCTGATCCACTTTTGCCCTGTGAATGCTAACAAAAAAAAAAAAAAAGGAAATAGACCGTGGGAAACACCCCCCCCCCCCCCCCCCCCCCCCAAAAAAAAAACTTTAAAAAAAAAATATTTTACACAGGTAACCAATTAACTGTATCTACATTTTTAAAATGTTGTTTCAAAATATATAAAGATATATAAACTGAGCAATAAATAAACAAGAACAGTGTGTAGCAATAAGCCTACCCTAGGCCTAAAACTTAGGACAGGAGCTGACCAGTGGATTCACGAAGTGTCAACTGCCCTAGGTGAATATTCATACCAAGTTCGGGTTGAGCAAGACTGAGAGGCACTGACTGGACATTAGCTAATCTTCAGCTCAGCGGCTAGTCACACTTGGACTTGCCGCTGACTCCTGCTAATCTCAAGAAACACTCATAAAACACTCGTCTCACATTTTAAAGCCGTGTGGACCTTTTGCACTTACCTCTGCTGTCCTCATCATCTAGCACCTTTACGACTGGTGTAGGCGAGCACGCTTTTGCTTCTGGTAAAACTGACCAGCAAGTGAGTTCTGCATGCAACAGTTACTCCCCCCTTCTCTCCATCATCATCATCTAGCGCCTTTACGACTTGCATAGGCGATCACGCCTCTGCTTCTAGTACTATTGACCAGCAAGTGAGTTCAGCACGCAACAGTTACTCCCCCCTTCTCCCCATCATCATCTAGCGCCTTTACAACTGGCGTAGGTGATCAGGCCTCTGCTTCTTTTATCTTTGACCAGCAAGTGAGTTTAGCATGCAACACATATCTGCAACTCCAGAAAATGTTACCGATAATCTTATATCTTCATGAGTGCCCACTGTATACTGTACCCACACCAGTGGTGAGGCCTGCATGCAATGGCTGTAATCGAGGCTTACACTTTTCAGAGCCAAATAAAAATTCAATATTTTACTGTTTATTTTTACTGTTTACCATTTATTACAAATATGCCACTTGGATTACGTCTCAAACATAGGAAAAAGAATGCTTGCTGCATACTTACACAGATACTGTAACATGTGAAAGCTAACAGTTACTAGCTGTGTGTACTCTCAACAGCGAAGCAACAACAAAACTATCATGTGATTCTCCAGTGTAATTGCTACCTGCTAATGCTTACGCAGGTGAATTGATCACCCCTCGCCACCAAACCACACAAAAACTTTGTTTACTATTGAAGTTCGCTGCCAGTTTAATCTGATTTTACCCACACCACCACCAGAAATATGGCCTCATATTGTCTCAACCAAAAAAGTCATCTTACCATCGATAAAATATGGTAGATTTAGATTCAGATTTAGACAACGGATCAACATTATGGCACAAAAATAGTAATCCATAAGTACTCCGTTCTACCTCTGACTCAAGCCTGAGTCTAAAGATTCTCAGTGCAGTGCAAACTCCGTAGCACCGGTGAGGATCCTAAAATACTTTGGCTTGCTTTTGAACTTCACATTTTGTCTGGGCAGCACTGTTAGGCTACTCTTTTTTGATTTCCAACTGCCAAGGGATTTTTTTACGTGCGCAACAATACACACATTTGTCCGATCTTACTACCCAGAGACCAGAAGAAATTACTAGAAATATGGTAAACACATTTGTATTATTACCTAAATGTAAAATGTTACAATGCACTTTATATTTCTTGAAATATACTGAAAAGCTAATCCCACAAAGTGCATTGTTTCTGGATAGAAAGTGTTCAGGGAAGATTAACCATACAAAAATATCACTGGCAATCAATACATTCACAATTATTAATTAAAATCACAACACTACACAGGTAATCTACTCACCATCCGTGATAGGTTTGACTGATCTAGGTGTAGTTGACGATCCAGATGTTAAATAGGAACTATCCCCACCTGGTCCATCTGCCACAGGAATAATTATAGTAGAAACAGGAATATTAATACTAAGAAGCAAATAAGTAAGAAAGCAAAGGATGAAGTCGATGAAGTATGATGTGTCGGCCAAAAGGTGCAAATTACGCAGGTGGGGTTGGGGGGGGGGGGGGGGGGAGGTAGGCAAACCCGGGTAATGACTCCCCAGCCTTTGACTTCTGATGTTGTGCTTATCAGACAAGATGTTATGGTAATTGCTACAAGTATCGAAGGTATGGTGATCATTGCTTAGGTAGCAAATTAACTAGCTACTTACATGACCTGAGTGACAAATGGACGGTTGGTTTATTGGACAAACATTAATCAGACAGACTTTAGCAGCTTGCAGTAGCATGAGCAGACATTAATCTGACATCTGGCAAAAGGGACCATAAAGTTTTTTTCCACTTCAGGCTTAGACCAATCTACCAAGGTCTTTCCTCCACGCAGTTCCGTTGTGTCTATAGCCAGCTCGATGGCAACAATTTATTGACTGGTATATTTCACTGTATCACATCAGATGCATTACTATAGAATAACATCAACATATCAGCTTAGTAGTAATGCTACGGATGAGATAAATGCCAGACAATAAAACATGCAACTTGTGTATGCATTATTTACATTTACAAAAGCAAAACAGTTTTAATCTCAACATATTTTTAATCTCAACATTCCCCGTGTGGGTTCCAGGGCCCCACTGGTGGGTGGGGGGAGGAGAAGGGATAGACCCGATGCTCCCAACAGCATGCTGGAAAAGTCGGCTAATTAAAAGTGTTTCCTTTGAAGTCAAAGTGCATCTGCCTGATAGGTGAGGAATTAACAGTATGCATACAATTTTGCCCAGACCTGCAAAAAGGATATGCACACAAAACCCAAGTCCTGGAACAAGACTACGAAGAAGAAGAATCTTAATGGAATTCTCCAAAATAACAGCTCACCAAGCAGTTTTTTTTTTTTTTGGGCCATTCCGCTACTCACTGTCCAACAATTGTGTCCATACAAAAGAAAAAAGACACACAACTTGTCAGCTCTGAAAATGCTTGCATCTGCAATATCTCTGTTTTCAAGTTTTAATGCTTGTGAAAAAAAAAAAAACACACAAATAAGGTCTAAATAACCTAGAAAGGACAACAGAATTACCAAGTTAAATTATGATGCAACGAATTATAAATATGTTTTGACTTATAATAAAAGACAATGCCCTGCTGTCAATGAGTCAGTAAAACTGAGTGTGTTCTTACCTACTCCCACTGATTAATACAATGAGTTACTCATTAGAAAAAATTACTCAAAGCAGAAGTACCCTCCACTCTCCTCAGTGTTACTGATTTTCATTAGTCATTATCATTACTTATGTACCAACTAACGTAACAACGATGTTTCAATCAGTCAACGAAAGTAAACTTTATAACAACATATTTAAATAACTAAAAGTAAATATTTCAGACAATGCAGTAAGTCTGTTAACGACTTACTTACATTTATACTTATAATAATAATGATATTATAGTGTACCATACAACTAGGGATGCTAGTGAAGTTTTATAATATTAGGTTTTTATTTCTGAAACAATCACAGCTGGATAGACATTGAAATAACAAATCCAACGACACCTCAATAAAGCCTGTTAAGTCAATTCTAAGCGGATGTATGAACATGTTAGTGACGTATACCATCACAGACAAATTATAGTGTAATCTGGCAAAAGATGGATTCCGAGCTGCATTCCCAGTAAAATTTAGGTTTGAAACGACTAAATGTTTGCATTTTATGGCAATAACTATATTGTTTTTTAACGAATCCCTTGGCAACTATTATATACCATTGTCTCCGGTCAGTGAGGCCTAACTGTATATGCATTTCTTAAATATGTATGATGCAATATGGGCCTAATCAACACATAAAAATGGCCGCAGGTCAATATTTTTAAGTAAAAACCTTATACATTTATGGTTCTCTGCCAACGAGCCTGGCAAGATGTTTACTGGACTGATGAGGCGAACATATGGATAACATAAAAAATGTCTATATCAGCTGGCTTTACCTTATTAACATACACAAATGGCAACAAGTTCACTAGTTTTAAGTAGTCACTTAATGAGTTAATGATTAAAGAGGTTCAAAGTTAAAAAAAAAAATCCCCTTCCTTGCACTTCATTTACCCCGCATGGCTTGATTTGTCTGTTCAATTACCAGCCACTTCTCGGGAACGATGCACAAAGCACAACCTTCGAAGCTCTAACAAAGATTCCCTGACAGCCTATAACAACGTAGCCACTATGTGTTTGGCTTTCATTCTATAGTTTTAACTTGTTTGTAAATATTTTAACAGAGCACTGTGTGAAGCATTTTGGATGCTTTCTAACTTTTAGTAATTAAACTTTACACATCATATAAATGTGATTGTAGTGAAAAATATATGTACTATGTGTGTGTCCTTAATTTATTATTGTTGTATATATATTTTTTTTTAATTTAACTCATACAACAGTAGCATTTTGGAGTGCTTGTAAATTTAATTACTAAAAATGCTCCGCCAATGTGGCCATGATGGCTAAAATTAATTATCAGGATTTTGGGGTGATCAGGTGAAAAAAGCAATCTCCAACAGAAAATTCTATGAACTTTGAATAATGACAAATGCATGAAAAAAATGCTGTCATGGTTGTGGATTAGTAAAATATAACTCATACAGCATTACTAATTTAGTAAGCATTTTAAATTAAGTACTGAAGAAGCTCAGAAAGTGCAACAATGATGGGTGTAAATGGCATACCACAGCAGACTTATTGTGAAAATGAAATTTAAGTGTTTGAAATCAGACTAGATTATGAAATAAAATCATAAAATCAACATTGTGATTACTTGTAGAAGTAAAATTTGTACTTCCTACAACTAAATTACTAGCATGTAATGATTTACTAATTATAAAGTAGAAGAGGTCAAACCTCCATCTGGAACAGCCATGTTGGATTTGAAGCAAAAACAGGGATGTCATTAAAATATGGTTTCTAACACTTCTATAAGCCAATCTTTTTGAAATTTCTCACTTATGTAAAAATGAACGCAGAATTAAAAAAAAAAAAAAAACCACTAACTGCCTTCTTTGAGTCCCAGAGGGTTTAGCATCACAGGCCCAAGGGGTAGTCAAGAGAGACGTAAAATCGGCGCATTATGGGTTCATTGGTCTTCTAGGCAGTAGCCAATGAACGTATGATGCGTTCCTTGGGACTTAAAGAGTTAGTCTAGCTAATTTAGAAAATATTTACGAACTGACTTAACATGAAATACACTGGGTGCTGCCAACAAAAAATAAATGATTTGTCATTCGCATGCCAAAATCATTTTCTATCACAGCCTGACATCTCTGCAATAACTACTAGTAACTGCTTTGATATGATTTTTCATGTCAAGAGTGCGGAAAAATAGTTCTCAATGAGGCTCAATGCTCCCTGGTTTTCACGATCGCAATAAGTTTGTATGTACATGCCGGAAGAGGCAAATATGATGAGTGTCTAGCATCCTTGACATCTGCATCGCTAGTAGTACTACTGGTCTTTTATATATGTATTCCCACGTAGGTGTGCATGCATTCCCACATGGGCGTGCTAACATGTGTGTATATACATATAATTGCATATATATGTGTGTGTGTATGTAGACATATAAGGTGCATACCAGATCCCTTCCCAACAACCATCACTAGGTACTAGAGTACTGAGTACCAGTCCAAGTTACTTGTTTTGGTGGACTTCCGGTCAAAATGGACACTAAGCAGGGGCACTGTTTGGAGCCGAGGCAAATGTTTTACTTCTGCCGGACGTGGCCGATGCATTTTTGCTCCATTTGTAGACTGGTTATAGTTTCATCGCTTAGCTTCTGAGCTGAATGCATGGTGTGACACTGTGAGCTGTGGATTTCATTTGGAATGTTTTTTCAACTGTGACCAATGTGATGGTGTGAACTGTAGTTTCAGAAAATGGTGCGATGCCTGTCGTCGCAATGTTGGTGGTGCCCGTATGTGATTAAAACTGATCGTGTGGGCAACTGCTGATATGTTGGTGACTTCTGCTACAATCAATGATGAACTGCATTTCTAATGTTGGACTGTTTGTGTTAGCACTTCGGATGGCTACCGTATGCTTTAATGCATGAGTATGCTAGATAAGCTGAGTGAGCAGTCTGTCAATCTTTCCACAAGGGACTGTGATAAACATTCTGTGTGCTTTTCGTTGGCACTGGAGCAGAGCAAAGATGGGGTGACCCATTTGCTATGAAGCTGAAAATAAGACTACCAGACTACTTGTTTTGGTGCAATTAACACTTCTTAGCAAACATATCTGGCACAAAGATATATAGCACAATTATAGTCGATACTGCTCATGGTTTTTTTTTCTTTTTTCTCATAAATAGATGGATGGATAAATTGACTGGTTTCAAATTTCCAAGTACAATATTTTAAATAATAAGATGGGTAGGATACACGTATCATACAGAGATAAAGACTTTTATTTTAAGGATCGATGTGAGAACCCGAAAGATGAGACCCTGAGATGTGCAACAATGAATATCGTCAAAATTATTTGTTGTTACAGTTAACACTGAATAAAAATGAACCGACTGAAATCAGTTATAGGACAGGAACAGTAACAAAATACTCTCCATTAAACTCTGGAACAGACCGAACTCTATGACATTTTTGTCAATGATGAGCAAATAAAACTTGCACCAGAGAACACAGACTGATTACCACTTATTTAAAAGGAGTTCAGGTAAACCATCATACAATTAAATCAAAATATAAGCATACCTAAACTGCCTACTGGCAGTGCAAATGAATCTATGGAAGGCTTCGGGTCACTATTACTTCTGTGCCTTTGAAAGGGGGGTAGACTAGAATCCACATCTGTTTTGGTGGCCATTTCAGCCATTTGTCGACAACATTAACTTCCGGTTCATTTCTGATTTTTTTCAGGCCTCTATTCTTAGTTCTCCGCTGTCCCAAGTCCTCTTTAATGTATATACGTTGCGAATAACAGACCAGCAATTGAATGGGAGTGGCAGTACTCTGTCATTTGAACTTGATCGCATCTCCTCCTGGTGCGTAGTCTCTAGTGCACGTCAACCCTTCAAAAGCCTCAGTAACGTGGTTCTCCTTAAACACGCATATGGTTAAGACAGACCTAACAGTTGTGGAATTTAGCGGTGAAGCTTTGACTAAACAAACACCCGATGACATATCTGCATGTGAAGTTTGATTGCAGCCTTTCCTTGAAAGACCACGTCGACCATGTTATAACGAAGCCCGTAAAGGCTTAGGCTATCAGCAATGGGGGTTCTGGCCACCGCCAACATCGAGCAGAGACTGTGACTGTTCCAGGGACTGGTTCTTTCTGCAACTGAATATACTTAATTAAGCGATACTTACAGTCATTGATGCTCAGACTGAAAGACTAGAAAAGGTGCAAAATGAAGTCATGCGCATTATTATAGGGTGCACAAGAGACGCCTCTTACGTAGCAATGAGATATCTTCTTGACTTTCCGACAGTGCACCATAGGATGAAGATCTGGAGGACTCGTGCATACCTGAAGATAAGCTCGGATTTGAAACACCCTCTGCACAATGTTCTCTTTAGGAAAAAGTGCAACAGGCTAAAAAGGGGGCAAACCATGGTTCGGAAGGGCAGAGAACGATACCATACAGGTCTATAGTTTTACAGACATCAACCAGGACGAAGAATGAATACCTGTGCCCCAGATGCTTAACAGCACCTTTCCTGTCTTGCCACACATGACAGGATCTGTCGGGAACAGAATCCAATTACTGTCAATGCAGAGGTCCACGCACTTAAATGTGAAAAGTCAGATAAGGAAGATGTACTGATCTAAACATATGAGTTTGTTGTTAGGATAGGTTAGCTGCGTATCCTTTACAGGACGTTGCAGAACCAACCCCACCAGTCCCTGGCTGTTGTTTAGTTTCTCTAGGCAAATTTACGTCCAGTAGTTTGCCTTTGCTTTCTAGACGGTCGGCCGCCCTGATACCACTGTCGAAACCAAGGCAAGGCGCATGGCCCGCACCTGGGATCGAACCCGGCATTACGAAGCGTTCGTATCGACTTAGCCACAGAGCCGACTGGGTCGGTTGTACGAGGACAAAACAGTGCATGGGCATTTACTGCGTGAAGACAGAACAGATAAAGAAAAAAAAAGCCAGTGATGCCTTCTGTGAGGCTACTAGCAGCATGACAAAGAAGGTGATGGCGGTGACACGAGCTTTCATCACGGGACTATTCTCAAGTGTGTGTGCTGAGGGATTCCATGATCATGATCAGGAAGGTCGAATCGGGCTGTGTACGCTGACAGTGGATCGAGTCATTGCAGAACTGTTGTGCGTGTAGTTTCCTTTATCTTTGTCCCAGAGTATGCGGGTGGCAATGTTGGCAATAAAAGAGCCGACAGTTTATCCGGCTCTGCCTTAGTTATAGAGGGTCAGCCCATGGATCATGCAGACATTGTTAATGCCATTAGAGAGGTAGGACGTTCGGAGGATTTTGGGAGCAGTACGTCCACATCTTTGCTAAGCGTGCAAGGATTAGGAAACTAAATCGGCACAGTCGCACCACGAGAAGCACAACTGACGCACGAGAAGTCTTGTCAACCAGCATAGGACTGGGACTATCAACCGCGGTACGCTGATGTATATGTTGAAGGAAGAATCTAAGCACCTATGGATGTGTCTGGGTGGCGTGAAGATATCTCATAACGTTGATTCCACCATAACGTGCCTGAGAGAAACATTCCTCGCCAGTTCGCCGGCCACATGCACTTTCCTGCCCTGTACTGGTACCTTCGTAGTAGTCGGCACCATCTGCTTCTCTGACCTGCGACTATGTCTGCCACCACAGTTCTTTCCAAACCATAGTGGGTTTGCCATGGCCAAAGTATTTAGGCTTCCGAGACAAGATGCTGTTTACGAGCCATTTTTCCTGTGCAATATGCAATACTGTAGTTTCACAGCAGATAATGACTAGGGAGTGTGAAGTGTAAGGCATGCATACATTCTAGGGTCGTCCCTATCCCCACAAGAACTACAGATTACACTAGACTGGTACAGCTGCCTTAATTGAAACTTCTTATGAGTTCGAACGGAGTATCTGGGAGCTGCCCTGTTGGCCTGCCATTCAGCTTGAGATCTTTGTTTACCTCAGAATAGTCAACTTTCAGGTAACATCCCGGTAGTGGTAAACCAGTCGATCGATCGCATATTCTAGACCTGCAAACCCTCCTTACCCGTATAAAACTGCACACCAGCCTGATGTAGCCGTTAGGGGTGTTTTAATATGTTATATTCGAGCACTTTAATATGTTATGTTCTATTATCACAATCGACATCACTGCATATTGTGTATTTACATGCATGCTCAGTCCTCCAATGCAGCAGCCACCTTAAAGTACTTCTACTAATTGTTCCCATGAGAGGTTGGTGTAATGACCCTGCTTTGCATGGTCCTCACGATTACATAGTGGCAAGCAGAAAGTCCGTGCAACAAGGGACAGCACGAGATACTTGTGCCTAGTCGAGGAAGCGAGGGAAAGCCCGAGCTAGCCTCGTGGTCAGTCGATCATCAGAAGTCAGAGAAGACGGTTGTAGTATTTGAAGATGTCGTCTTTATGTTGCGCAAATGGTTAGTGTTGAATATGTCGCGAGTGATAAAGTGTAAATAATGTTTGAACATGTGAAATAAATGGACGAGAATAAACTGACAGAATGTACCAAGAAGCTGAGCGGCGTTTGTGCTGTCCACTCTAGACGTTAAAGTAGTGCAAGTTGTGTAGCAGTAACATCCAGAGAGTGAGCCGTGGCTAAAGCCAATAAGTAGTAAGCCAAGGCGCAGTCCAAGTCAAGCCAAGGTTTATTACAAATGGGGGCTCGTCCGAAGAAAATTTGAGAACCACACGGACCACAATCATTAGGAAAACATTTTTGTTTCTTCTAAGGTAAGACAAACATGCGGAAAACAGTGTACGATACATCGCTTTAACCCGAGCAGAGCCTTTAAACACAGCAAGCTGCGACAGGTCAGCTGCCAACCAATGAAAAACATCGTACCATGGAATACACGCGAACATAGTTGTGTGTCATCAACGTCCTGCCTGCCACCACACATCGTATTACCAAGGTTTGTGGATTCAAGAAGTTTCATGTTCACCAGTGCTACACATCAGAAATATGTTAAATCTAGTTTATGAATTAAATCAGGTTTGTGACCATTATTGTTTCGCGGAAACTAGCGGACTATGAACTAATTTTATTTACAGTTACGATCAGTTTTCTTACTACCGTGACATTTTTTGCATCGATTGTGCCTTTATCAGAATGGCATCTAAAAGGTTGGTAAAACATAAGAACGCTTTGTCGCAAGTATCTTCAGCGACAACAATAAAAGATACATCGATAAGCAACCAGAAGATCAAGATGTGTAATTTTTGTAAGTACCAGCACAGTTCTTCAACTATCTGCGATAGAGATCCTAAATATTCAAGCTATATTGAAGACTTGGTCAATAAAAAGTGGCAAAATAAACAAAACAACAACCCTAAAAAATGCCATTTTTGTTCAGCATTCGGACATATTGTAAAACACTGTGTTGGGAAACAGATGTTAAAAGACAAGAAAAGATCCTGTTATGCAAAAACTAAGCAAAAAAGAATGGATTCAGAAGCTCTTACGTTACCTACTCAAGATTGTGCAGTATGCGACTGGAGGAAAAAAACAGGGAAAAACAACAGAGCCTCATACAATTTGGATAGGAACATACCAAATAATATGTCCAGGAACTAAAAAGATAAAGAACGAAATCATCATTGCAGAATTAGAATCCAGCAAAAGCAATACGAGCAACAAAAGTGAATCCAAAAAGACAACAGCCACTGAAACAGAGAAAAAGTCAAACTCAGAAACAATGAAAATTAATCAAGCAAAGGATATCACTGTTACCAACAATGACATCAGTCGAGACAAAAGAAACTCAATGTATGAAACAGCCAGATTGTGAAATACCACTAGATAGACAAGCCATGAATAAAGAATTTTCATTCTTAAAGGACAATATAGACATACCTTATGATCAATTACACATAGCAACAAGTAAAAAATATCGTGAAAAGTCAACTAAATGTTTGATAAACAACAAACCAGCACAAATGCAATTAAATAAAAAAACAAATATCACGTTGGTACGTGACAAATTTATAGAAAGATCAGATTATAGCGGAGAAATGATTTACAGTTTTGACAAAGAAGGTGAATGGATGCGATTCCAGATAGCTTATATTTATTTGAAGTCGCCCTATATATCAAAACCATTGAAAGTAGTGGTAATGAATGACATCGGAACAGATGTGATTCTGGGATACAAAGACTTCAACATTAGGGACTGTTCTGATGAAGACATAAGAGTCTGGGAACAAAGGCATCTCCATCAACAAAAATAACAGATTCAAGGAAAATTACCATCTTTATTTATGAACTGAAGTATCACTATTTATTAACTTGAAACCATACAGCCCATCATCCTGAACATCATCATCAATCTAACATATCACCATGCATGAAGCTCAATATTATCACCAGTCAAGAACCTACATAGAACCACTGGCAACCATACGACTAAGAGTAAACCTAAACGATCATCAGGAATTGATACTTTACCATTCTTACCTTCAAGATTGTCTTATTTCAACCAAACAATCAAGAGTAAACCTGAACAATCATCAAGAATTGACAGTTTATCATTCTTCATCTTCAAGATTATCAAATTTCAATCAAAATTAGAAATCACCAACCAGTACTGTACAGTGAATGAACAGAACCATATCAGCCACTGAATTATTCAAATTTGAAAATCACTACCAAGGAACAGAAA